GAGGGACAACCCTATTTATTATTCACGCACTCTGCAGGCCTTTTCTACCACTACCAAGCCACCTGAATATATAGTAGCCCTTCTCCAGAGCACCAGAAACGACAGGAAAGAGGTCTTGAGAAAGAAACATGAGATCAAACAAACAAAAAAGTTAACCTGAGGTATGAACCTTTCCCTTGTAGAAAAAGTCTGCTACTTTTTTAATAGCCTGGGGATTATATATGATGTTCAAGGGCCTCGTGCTGACATTTAGCCGCCTCTCGAAATGGCTGTGCACTGGATTTCTCTCATACAGCATCTCAAAAACTGGGTCATCTGGGTCCGCAGCTAAAGGAAAGAACCAGAGAAAGAAAATGGAACACAGCCAAAAACAATCTCCTAATTCTTAATAGACCCATGAGAAATTCTGGAGAAAAGACATTTCCTGATTTTGCAATTAGTTCACATTTATGCACATTTTATAAAATAGAGAACCTAATAAGGGTTGGCCCTTAATGACAACAGAAATCCTTAAGACCAGTTGTTGCATTTGCTCCCATGAGGGAAACCAAGAACCCGGATACCCTGCAAGGTTGCTCCGGTTACACACGGGTTAACAGAGAGCACCAGGCTGCCTCCAAGTCAAACACGGATCCACACAGCCAACCGCGGGACACAGAACAGGACACACCCCCTCTTTACTGCTGACCAAGACTACGGATCCGTAATCATTATATTTTTCAGGATTTGTTTTAAGAACCTATGACAAATTACCAGGGTAGCGATCACTTCTGTCTGCAGATGGTGTTTGGAGACCAAAAGACTGAGATACTCGGCCAACTTCTTTTTGCTGTTAAACACACAAAAAACGCATAAATGTCAGGGGGAGAGGGGGACGGGTCGCTGTGCACACACTCTCACGTTTTACCCTTTGGCATCACTCTCGCTCAGCGCAATCACATCAGAACTCATCAGATATCAGCTCACTGAGGACTTGAACCTAATCCCTCCAGTCTGTGCCTTTTTCCCAGCCTAGTCTTTTCCTTTGTACTGACAGTGTGCTACTCTGCACTCAGCACATTTCATGAATGATCGCTACATGAATATTAAACGTGTACGGCTTTTCAAACTTTCACCCGGCACTCCCACCCACTCCACAATTCAACCACCCAAACAAATTATGGGCAGAGTAAGTGGCTAAATATTCAATTATTCTGACCATACCTTCACCAATTTGATAAGATCAACGATCTTCTAATTAATAAAGGATAGTCTGTGCAAAAAATTAGCATATATATAATTTGAGGTGGTTCTCTTTTGGAATTCTGGAGAGATGAGAAGTCCTATCGAGTGGCTAAGAGTCAGAATACACGAAAATGACTGTCAGATACAGAGGAATTCTAAACATTGACCTTGAAATGCAGAAAACAGTGGTGCTTATGGCATTTTCTTCCAAGTCAGAGCAAACTATTCCATGGTGGCTACAACACAAAAGAGGAAGAAGGCACTGCCATAAATTCCGCCAACATTTGCTCTCTAACAAATCCAAAAACTTACCTAACTCCAGTTTGTTTTTAATCGGTCCATCTGTCTCAAGATGATCAAATGTCACAATGAATCAAGTTAACACGACTTACTGCTTGCCTAAAACAGACCAGAATTCACAACATCCTGGATGGACTCGCCAGCCCACTGGTGTACGTACCGGATTAGGGAAGACCAAAAGAGGAAACATGGTCCCTTCTGTGGCCAGGTCCCGAAGGAACAGTCCACCCAACCGGAC